GCGCCATACCCACAACCGACTCCTGACCTCGCGATCCTTTATCTTGTCCTGCCGTCCTGCCGAAGAAGATACAGACGTACTTCGCTCGCCGACCGCGCCAGCGGAGGATCATTTGCAGCAGTCTTCTCGCTGAGCACACGATGGGTGGAACTCGGAGATGGAAATATGCCCTGTCTTTCTGGGTTGTGTGATACAACCATTGGCATCGGAATGAATTTGCCGTTCCGTTGTCCATCCGTGCCTTGATTATCAGTGCTGGTGTTAGATCTCAGGCGTATCGAGTTACAAGCATGTGGACTACCTCTTCTTGCATCGCTTCTTCTGCCTTCCAAACCATGGTGGGAGAGACTTGGATTTTCTGGGTGTGTCCTCCCTTCAATATCCATTACAATATGTAAGAGACAGTTGATGGAAAAACAAGATAAAAGCACGTCAGCCGGGAAATGTGAGGTCAATGCTAAGGGAAAGGCATTGAGACGATATCGTAAATGGAAAATGAATGAGAATTTGAAGGAGTAAAAATTGATGCATTAAGATAATAAGTAGGGGAAGAGGTTAGGATCAAGGGTGATAGTTGCTAGAGTCATCAACGTCCATAATACATGCTTAGCAGATAAGAATTGAGTTGACCTGATTTCCCCGGTACATTCATGGGGCAAGTCTTCGGTCCACTCATAACCGGAATCCGAGGGCCCCGTCATCGCATGTTAGCGGGGTGCTACATGGTAGTAGCCCCTTATATCGGTGACAGGGCTGTGCAGCCCACACTGCCCTTTACAGCGGGTATAGAAAGGTCGCACTTTTAGAGGCCTTACCCCGGCTAAAAATAGGCGGCCGAAAGCCCGGCTGACGCGCCCATTATACAACCCTGAAGGCATCTTGGCAAAGAAGACAGACCCAATATATACACTCAGGGCTAAGGCTCATCCACAGAGTGGTTTTATGAATCTATCTCGCACTCTCCGTCCTCCAACATCCTGCATCCTGATATCTACTCCTCTTCCCGTCAAACCACGTATCACGCCAACCATGGTCACCGCCACAGCAACCGGCGCAGCCACCACCTCCACAGCCTGCGGAACCTCCTATCAATACGAACTCCCGGTCCACGACGCCGCCTGCGGTGTGCCCAACCAAGCCAACTACTCGACCGTCTTCGACTCGTGCGCGCTGCCCGCCGGGGTGCGGCCCTACGATAACGACTGCGCACTCTACGCTCTCGCCGTGGGGCAATCCGTGCAAGACCTGACCGACTGTCTGTACAAGGGCGGAGTCGCCTGGGCGGATGTCTGGTGCACTGGCGGTGTCAATTCCACGGCCACTGCCACTTCCTTCCCCACGCCAACAAAAGCGGTATCGAGTTCGACCTCCAAGACCATTGAGGACAAGAAATCCTCGTCCACAAAGTCAGGGACTGCTGCGACGGCGTCGGCAACGGGAGGGGGCGGTGCTGTCACCTTCACCACAAAGTCTGCGGTGGGATTAGTGGGTATTGTGGTGATGGCTCTTCTGTGTTAGGGTTTGATTGCGGACAGGGAGACTCAAAAGAGAGGTGGAGTATGTTGAATTCATAGAAACCCGCAAGTTGCAATGTCCGAAGGCCTTCGATTGTCGGGGCGTTGATGGTCCATAGCCGTAAAAATGCTTCCGGGTACAAAACACAGCGTCTAACTACTCTGAAGCGCTGGTACTTAGTGACGTAGCCATTTGTTTAAATCACAAGCAGAACCAAATTACTACCAAGAGCCTACTCAATGACACATCAAATACACTACTTAAGCTACCTTGAGCGACCCCAACTTATAGCCAACCCTTCTACTAGCCAGATAGGTTTGTCACAAGAAGTTGTGTTATACTTGGAAGACCGCTTCCTTTCAGCAATGCGTGTTCCAGTCATAAATATATTAATCTCTATATCTAGATCATTGGGTCATACCTTGCCATGGAATGGCATCCTCCGCGTTCTCCTGCTGCTTCTCGGAGAACCGGAGAATCGAGCTTGGAACAGGCGCAGGCTCTGTCGCCACGATATGAACCGGGAAATGCACTTCGAGGATCCTCGTCTGGACCTGCGTTAAAATGAAGCAGTCAGGGAACGAACTCCGGTACGGAGTACTCTTGTGCAAGGGAAGAGATTTCATGCTGGTCACATACCTTGGACGGCCGGCTGTTGAACCCCAGCCGAACCTCAAGCTTGTAACTGCGCCGCACATTACACGTCTCGAACGTTGGCGTGATCGCTGTCGGGAGGAGCTGTCCACCCCAGTAGTCATCCGGTATATTCACCGTCGTCCCGACGGGCGTTTCGGCAAGACAGACAAACATGCGCAGATTGCTTACGGTGCGCAGGATACGCGAGAGACGCTGGACTCGTACCTGGCCGGCGGCCCGCACCTCTGTTTCCTCGACGATCATCGCCTGGAAATCGTTCAGCATGAGGTCGTGATCGGCGCAATTGACCTTGGTGATTTGCACTCTGATGGGAAGTCGCTGGCCGAGGTGGAGATAGGCGCCGCACATGAGTTCAATGCTGACGTGGTACGTGGTGGCTATCGCCGCTGTGACCTCGTGTGCGGTGGTTTCGTTGGTGCTCTGATGGCACCGGATGATAACGGCGCGGTGCCGCGAGAGAGACTGCCGGGGTGGCGGGAGGCTGGATGTGGGGCAGAAGAATATTCTGCGGGACTGCTTTGTTGGGTCAGCAAGAGGGGCATGTTTGAAGGTGTGCATGCCACGCAACCTGCTTGATGGATTGCTTCAGGAATCCGCCAATGTTGACATTGGCTTCGACGGCGTATGCAATCTCGGCCGGGCCGGAATGATCGCCCGTGGAGGGAGGAAGCCGTCGGAGCAAATGGGGCATCTCCTGGCCCCGGACGGGTGGCGCAGGCTCTGTTTGGGACTGTTTCTCCAAGCACCTGGTCGAGTGTGCTTTGTAGCATCCTGATACCGTAGGAAACTGGCAGTGGGAATTTGTCACTAACGGTATTATACTGGTCATCTAAGGGGTAGGATACGTACCGCGAGGGAGAATGGAAATGTGTACTGCTTAGGGCCTAGGGTCCGGAATCTCGAGGTATTCTGATCCAGCTGCCCGCATGGGGGGAATATCTGCAGTGTCTCCTGAATAAGCTTGGATAAGGTCAGCCTGCATATTACTGGGCGCCACAGGTAGGTTAAAAAACATACCTGGTGGCATTCTGTGTGGCTTGAGCGTTCCATTCTTGAAATAGACCGTCCCAGCAGGGTAACGGTGATCTGCGATATGTCGACTGGGGAGTCTAGATTGAGGATCACGTGCCCCGTGACGCAATCGTTGTTTGTATATGTCGGCTCAGGTTTGTCTAGTTCGATTTGCAAGTCCGTACGCGAGGTAGGAACAAAGTAACTCATCATAAGAGACATGGAAGGTCAGAACATTCAACAAAATGAGATCGAAGCCGATTATCGTCGAATTCTCGAGTCCCTGACCAAGGATCCTCGGAAATTTATTCGACGGTGCGAGAGATATTTTGTCATTGAATATCACTGCAGGCTTCGCGGGCGCATTGTCTTGGCCTTTGTCATGTTTTGGAGCGCAATACTGCGGCTATTTTTGTTCGGGGCTCCTGGCGTAGTCTCAAGATGAAGATTTCTGTCCATTTGGGTTCTCTCACGTTTCGTGTATCTGTTTTCAGTCAGATGAACCTTTGTCTAGCTAAGAGTTACAGGATGGGACAAGATTTACATACAATCCCGAGTCAGTCCCGGCCCGGGGGGGGGGGGGGGGAATTCCAAGCCGGGGGGTTCGGCATAAGAGCGGGGCGCGCACAACCGGTGGGCTAAGAGTAACCGGGAACTCCCATTGGTTCGGGATAAGTATGGGGCTCCCCTACCCAATCATCACCTCAACAGAAGCCTTCGCTTCCTGCCCAGATCATGGATGTATTCTCTTCGGTCGCGATCCTGTAAATTTCTGGGAAAAGGGGGGTTTATTGAGAGGGCTTTATTTTTGATGCTGATGGCCTCAATTGGCGATCACTGAAGTTCAGATTTGATGGGCAAGTATGACCTTCCTGAGCGGCTGTGAGACACTCATACTTACTACTCAACGGGACGTCATGGTTCCTGAAAGAATATTCCCAAGTGGCCGACTCATTATTTGATATGCGCCGGAGATAACTAATGAGACAAAAGGAGTTCGGGGTGTATCACCAGCGTGTTTAATCTGAATGCCAAGCCAACTTTGAACTATGGCACCCAAGATGTCTGATCACTTCCACAAACACAATCGCACCTTACAACAGGCTAAACCTTGCCCTGCAACTGTATATGTATCAATTCTGATGAGTGAGGCTCAGCTCGGCCCCGCGGGCCCCGACGAGGGTGGCTAGTGGCTAGATACAACATTCACTTTTATTTCATGCTGTACCTACTGTGCCATGCGAGCCAGCGCGAACAGTTGACCTGGCTACTGGTGTCACTGCGAGCCAAGTGACATTGGATATTCTCATTGTTAAGCCTTGGAAGATGGCCCTGTGCTCTTTATTTTTACCTAGTAGTTCGAGGTTGAAGGTGGTCTTGGGCGCTTGGCGTTCAATGAACTACAAGGCACTGTACACTTTCCCAAGCAGCACTAGACTAATTGTCTATCAATGACCCCTCTACCCCGGTTTTATTGCTACCATTTCAAGGCCTTTCACCAGTCGGGGAGGGGGATTTTGTAACAATCTTCTTTCAGGGCAAGGTGCGATTGCCTTATGGCGGACGAAACCAGACCAATTGGCGTGTGTACTATTCCGCTACCGTGCAATTTTGTGGGGCTTCAGGCGTTAAGGTTTGGTGGGAGAAATGTATTTTTGTCCATTTTCCTGAGCGTGCATAGCAATGCCAGATGATATTACTAATCGCCAAGCATAAGTCAAGTCTTCGCCACAGTCAAAATAGCAGTCAAAATCGCCTGCAGGGCTTTTGCTGCGCCTTACATCTCTCGCTTCGGTATTCACAATCCGAGATTATTGTATAAGATAGCCATCACAGGAGCATGGAAATTTGATGCTCTAGGACAATGACAGATCATGCAGGCCACAGACTACAATCGTCAACAGATCTACCCCTTTCCAGCTGTAGGTAATTCCACCCGCCGGTCTTCCCCGCCAAGGTAATTAGGCTGACATCTACACAGTGCGATTCTTGTCATGCGCGGAAGGTAAATTACCATCCCTGATATCGTGTTCAAAATGCCAAACCTTTTTTTTAGCAGTCTAGAGCGTCGACATTTACATTGATCTCCTGTCCAGGTCCGGTGCAATCGAGGATTACCATGTAGCAACTGCCTTGATCAAGGTCTTTCTTGTCAAAGACAGCGGATCCGGCGACGTTTGCCGAAAAGAATCCTAAACCCTAAAGTTCAGACGACGACTTCAGCAACAACCACCGTTCAGGCACTCGCCCCTAGTCGACTTGAGCAGGTCGCGTTGACTGAGACTGACATGTCCATTGAACGGTTTGGCTTACAGCAAGAACTAAAGACCTCAACTGGGAGAATTGAAACAAGCAACACACCTGTACCCAGGTTAGAGGCAAAGCCTACAGGTAGTGATCAGCCAATACCAGCTGGTTGTGACTTGGCTGCGTGGGTGCCATTAAATCGATCAATCGAGACTCGCTTTGAAATTCCGAGCCACATGGGCAACTTCGAGCACGGCTTGGTCTGCAAAGCGCAGGAAGTGTTACGCTCAGCTTTGGTTCGTGCAACTCATGCCCCTCAAGGGCTAAGACCACCCCTCCAGGACGAACGTGGCGTGCCTCTTGAGTTTCTGACTTGGATGCTACAAGGTAAGAAACGTCCTCAATGCCAGGTTGAAAGGAAACGGCTATGCGCGCTGGGGCTAATACGGTCTTGCTTGGTTGAACAAGACATCGGCAGTAACAAGTTTGGAATATACGTGTCAGATTATTTCAAACACGTTTCCAAGACCACCCTAAAGGGTATGTGTTTAAGGCTGTTGTCCAACGATGTCTCGAATGACGAGAGAGACATCTTCAGTGTCTGCGTCAACGCCGCTGCTCACAAATTCCTAATGACCGTTCTCATGATTGGGGAGCACGATGACGAGCTCACCGACCATCTGCGACTTCGGTCTGTCGAATACAAATCTGCCGCACAGGCAGCGTTAGGGCGCATTCGACTCACGATCACTCCTTCCTTCTCACTTCTTCAGGCCCTTCTTTGCGGGGTGGGTATATTTCTTACCTAACGTCTGTGATACATCGTGCTTTTGTCGATTTCTAACGGAGATTCTATAGGTTTTCCTCCATCAAGGCTCTGGCAACACCCACTTTTGCTATGAACTGACTCGGACTGCTTGTCGGATAGCCACTGACCTAGGATTCGATAAGGCGAGTCCTGACTCGGAGCGGAAACCCAGGACAGAGGAGGAAGTCTTCTGCGCTCTTTGGTGTTATATGCTAGATAAGAATTACGCGTGGAAGTTCGAACCTTCGCGAACCTTCTTCGAGATCGAGCCCGGGATGCTTGACGATTATGTTCATGATACAACCGCCGATCTTCTGGCAATCTATATTGCCATGGCCCGAGTACAGGATGACACATTATCATTACTCAAGAACATCCTGTCGAGTGCCTCACATTCAGTGCAACTTCCCCCGCGCTATTCCGTCGAATCGCTATTACAGAGAGTGGATGAGATTGAGCAACAAATTGAGCAGGTACGATGCTACCTCAACAAGCTTTAAATTCCCGACGCATAGGCATGCGATCTGACGCTGACTACAACACAAGATATCTGCGTCTTCGGCGCAATGCTGGATGGGCCTTGATGCTGAGAACGAGATTGCTGCCATTCGCTTCGCGCACCACTCCATCCGAACCACGATTCTTTATCTCTCTGACCAATTTCAAGGGCGGGCCATTGGGTCGGGAGACTTGCTCCTCCAATCTGCTCGTCAAGAGCTATCGTCACTGTTGTCTATATGTCTAATCAACGAGAAAGACCGTGCCATCGGCTTCCTCCATTGGTCAGTCATTTGGACCCCCCTCTCTTATCATTCTGTGCCATATTGCCCGCAACGCTGACCAATTTCGCTCTATCCAAACAGGACATTGACTTTTTACCCCTTGACCGCGTGTTTCGTCTTGTTCTGCAACGCCGTGACGACGTCAAATCTGGGAGATATAAACCTTCTCAAGACTGTGGCGACGGTTCTTTTGCCCAGTATCTCGAGTAGTCATCACGTCACGGTCATACAACGTCTCTTTGAGGAATTCATTGCCCTCTCGCAGTCGCTTTTCTCTGACATGGAGAGCCGCGGGGGCAATGCGGCCGAAGTCAGGGACGCCTCCACGCTTACCCAGGTGCGACCTTCGCAGTCTCACAACCAAATCTTCCCTGCGGGCGACGCTGTCTCCACCGCTCATCACCCTGGGACACTTGTTTGGGCCGACACAACGACCAATTCCTTTCCGTCTGATCTGTCTGAAACATGGACCCCCAACGAGAGGGAGAGTTACCCTGCCTTTATGGACCCTTCGATCACAATTCCCTTGGACTTCGAGTTCCCGGCCGAGTTCGCTGATATCATGCCTGTGACTTCTGCTCAGTGACTTGCATAGCTATTAATACCCGTTTTACCGAGATTATATATGCTGTACGTATAGCTTCTTTGGCAGATCACCTGCGTTCCCTGGAACCCCGCCAGGGGAACCATGGAGAGAACTTACCTCCAATCCATCAGGTGTAAGGGCACAGCCCCTGAAGTCAATGGAATCGTGTTTCAAGAAGTATCACTATGAAACCAGTATCTCTGGATGCATTCATTGCTAATTACACCCCAGTCACCTATAACTGACACGCGGGATAATAAACCTAAGGATGCGCAAAACGTGTGCGGTGCTAAACAACAGGTAGAGACGAGGCTCAAACCTAAATAGTCTATCAAGAACTGAGGGATGTGGCTGAATGATCAATTTCGCTAGCCAAGGCTCGCTACGGACGGGACTATGTATTATCGTGCGGCGAGGCCTCGGGCCAAGTATGTAACAGCATGACATAATCTTAATCACCCCTGACAGAAGTAATCAAGGCATGATTATGTTTTGCCTTAGTTCTTCCTGGGTCTTCAATCATCCGATACACTCTTTTTTCTGTCTCTGAAGATTGACATATCGAGAAAGTATCCGGCAAAGTTAGCCAAGATGAAGCATTTTGTTCACTTAAACTTCCCGAATACAATGTACCCTAAGATTCATGAATCTCCAACGCATCCATATCATCTAACAGCTCCTCCATGTTGATTTTTGGCACCTCCCCATCGGTCAACTCGGTCCCCGCCACGCTGACTTCGTCATCCTTGGGCTTGTTCTTGTACAGCGCGAGGGTCGCCCGTAGCTCCTCATCCTCCTCCACATCCCGCAGGAACATCTCGAGATCGTTCTCCACGCGGCTTTGCTCGTGGTCGGTGGGCAGCAGCTCACTCTCCCCGACCGCCATCCGCTTCAGCTTCCAATTGCGTTTGTTCTTCTTGTGCTGCCGTGGGTAGTGCTTCTTCACCAGCACCACGTCGGGAATCCGGGAGGCGTAGGTCTTCGACTCCTCGAGAGCCTCGAACTCGGGACTATTGAAGTTGGCCCCCGTGATCATGTAACCCAGCACCGAGTCGCCTGGGTGCAGAATGCTCCCAAGGTGCGATCGCGTGAAGTACTGCCGATCCCCACCAAAGTCCGAGGCGCGCGCAACCGTCACCTCGGCGAGTTGCCACTTGCCCTCGCCTTGACCGGTGAGATCGATGTCGAGGACAATGAACTCGACGAGGTTGGGCGCCTCCGCGAGCGGCGTGAACGGCGCGCGCCAGTAGATCTTGGGCTGCAGGTCGGCAGTCTGGAGGTTGTTGGGGTCAAGGAAGGTGATGGAGGTGCCGACGCGCTGGCACAGCACCAAGGGCGCGATGTTGCCGATCTGCCGCGCGAGCTTGATCGGTAATGCGACGAGGTCATCCTTGCATACTGGCACGAGCTTGACCGAGTAGCTGAACTTGTACGACTTCTTGGACGTGTGGATGTTCTCCGAGATCAGCGTCTGGGACTTGGTGACCTCGATGGGCACGACGGAATGCAGAAAGTCGACGAAGGCCTCCGCGTGGTTGCGCTGCGCGAAGAAGAAGTCGACACCGTTGCGCGCCTCCTTGATGTTAATCGTCTCGTTGTGCGCCTTGTGCTTGAGGATCAGCTGCTCGAGGTAGAGGAAGGTCCGCTTGTGCATGACCGCCTGGCGCACCTGCACGCTGGCCCGCCAGTGGTTGTGCGTGTACGACTTCTTGCAGTCCGGGCACTGCAGGTACAGCACGGCGTACGTCACCTCGAAGCTCTGTTGGACGAGGGCGTCGTTGTCCAGCGAGTCCTGCACCGTGAGCTTGAGCTTGATGCGCCGCGAGTGCGGCTCCGTCCAGATGAACGAGGCGTCCATCACCCGCACTTTGTTGAGGCGTTTCAGCTTGCGCAGGCACAGAGCCAATAGCTCGCGCGACTCCGGGGCGGCGACCGTCCAGGTTGCCGGGGGTGAGAGCCATCGCTCGCAGTCCCGACAGTAGTGTACAACCGCGTCGCGCTGGATGCCCGCCGAGATGTCGACCGAGGTTTTGATGCAGTCAATGCAGAGTGTCGTTCCCTTTAAAGGCGCACCGCACTCGTAGCATAGTGTCCTGGGGAAGAGAGCTTAGCAGAAGGACTATGAGGAAGGCAAATTGGACCTTAGGTACTCACGTGGGAGTAGACTCTTCGCTGTTGTCCAGCGTTATTGCTATGGGAATCTCCTGCTGCATTTTAACGAGATCTGTCTGGGTGGCGATGATTGTTGATGTGAAGATGAAGCCGCGGGGTTGCTCGATAAGATTAGAAATACATCCTTTCCTCTTATCGTTATCCGGAGCCACGTGACTGCTCGCATTGCTGCTTATCAATCAAGGCGGTGAATCATAGATAGGAAGGGGATGGCAGAGGCTTGATCGCAGTCTTTCTGTCACATCTTGAGCAGCTACACTCGCAACTGAAGAAAACGTGTGAGGTGGCCTTATTGCGAATTTTAGAATTTCAATCGAACTCTTATCTATTCTCCCAATACAAGCATGGTACAACACTATGAAGGTGTTCCGCCATAAGGGTCCGCACCGTAATTACTAGTAAACATATATTAAACATATATTAGCATTCTTTGGTCGCTAAGATAGATGACAGTGGTCCCAAATACCACCCGTAGGGAACGATACGATATCTATTCTTTTCTCTAAGTCCTCGGTCTAGGCGTGTCCAAAGTCTTCCAAGGAAAAAATCAAGCGTTGCCGTTGGCAAATTCCGTGCTGAAGGGATAGTCGATGTAACCCTTCTCTTGTATAGGGGTATAGAAGCTATCTCGATGATACGGGTTGAGAGCAAGTCCATGGCGAATGCGAAAGGGCAAATCAGGATTCGCAAGGAAATGGCGTCCGAAGACAATCGCGACGTTGTAGTCCCTGTAATCACCCTGAAGAGCAGCTTCCACATTTTCCGGGGTATATCCGCCCGCGACAAGGACAGGGGAGGTTTTGCCCCAGATGTCGAGAAGGAACTTGTTACTCTCTCCTTGTTCACAGTCCACATTGTTGATAACGCGCGACTCAATGAGGTGCAAGTAAGCCAGGTTCAAATGCCTGAGCTGCTCCACACAATAGGCAAATTGAGGGGCCGGATCAGCCATCTTCATACCTTGCCAAGTATTCCACGGACTGAGCCGGAATCCAACGCGGTCAGCCCCGATAGCATCCACCACAGCTTTAGCAACTTCCAGCGCGAAACGTGCGCGGTTGGCAACACTGCCACCCCATCGATCGACTCGCTGATTCGACACATCCTGAAGAAACTGATCGACCAGATAGCCGTTGGCTCCGTGAATTTCGACGCCGTCAAACCCAGCTCGAATTGCGTTTTTCGCCGCTGTCGCAAAGTCATTGATGATGCTCTGAATCTCCTCCTCCTTCAACTCCGTGGGAACAGGCATTTCCGGGTCTATGGGAATTGCACTGGGGGCGTGTAGCTCATATTCGCCATCGGCACGAAGCACAGCGGGATCAGCCGCCCTGCCCAGCGCAATCAATTGACAATAAATGAAGCTGCCCTTCTCATGTACGGCGTCGATGATCTCTTTCCAGCGCTGAATCTGGGGCCCGCTCCAGATTCCTGGCCCATGTGGGATCCCACCTTCGGATGCTGAGATCTGAGTGGCTTCGGCGATGAGCAGCGTCCCTGGCACAGATGCTCGTTGCTTATAGTACGTTTTGGCTATGGGTAAAGGGACGTGTTCTGCGTCGGCGCGGAGTCGAGTAAGCGGAGCCATGATGACTCGATGCTCGAGATGGAGGTTTCCGATCTGCAGAGGCTCGAAGAGCTTGGAGGGCGTCATGGCGGATCGACTTCAGTGGTGGTGTCTTGAATGCTTGTGGTGTTTCCCTTCTTCTGTTGGTTAGGAATTGAATACCCGAACAGTAGTTGTTTTTCATGCTGTGAAATGATTCCCCAAGCTGGGATTTATGATTTATACAATTTTGGAGGTCTTGGAGATTGGTTTCCTTTGCCACGGCTGCATCTGGCCGCGAGTAGGGCTGTGGGGGGATTGTGGGTACCACCTCCAAACCACCTCCAAGCACCTCCAACGAGCAGGACAAACCGAAAATGACAAACCCACTACTCATGAAATTGGCAATGCAGGAGGCCTGTATGTCACCATGTGAGTGCCAATCGTATCTATCATCGCTTTTCGAATCACTAAAAGATCTCGCAGTGGACTGTACCCTTTTTTGGCCAGGGAAGGCGGAAAAGGTCTAGATCATCTACCGACCCATGTGCAACCCGACCACAGCAATGAAATTGAGAAGAGCCGTGCAGGATATGTGGCGACTAGAGTCACGGAGTGAATTGAGATTCGAAGTCATTAAAGCATGCCATGTTCTCATTTCTTACTTTGCACTCTCCAACAAGAGCGGTTCCACGTTGCCGAGACGCCCCCAAAAGCTCCCACGTCATCTCCATGCAGGCAAGTCGCCGCCTAGTACCGCAACTCTCCAGCAGCAATCATTATAAATTCTCGAAGCCAGACCACCAGGATCAGCCAAAGACTTTGCAGACAGCTTTCATCACTCATTGCCCCCAATATTGAATATGGCATCCCTCACCTATGTTAACGAAGATGGTGCTGGCCAGAAGCACAGCGATCTCTGCCACTACTCCCAAGCTGTTCTTCTCCCCGGGAACATTGTGAAATGCGCTGGGCAGGGTGGCTGGACGAACTCGGGAGACCTCGATGCTAGCGATACTCGGAAGCAGGTTGACCTTGCATTTGAGAACGTCGATAAGGTACTTCAAGCCACAGGTTTGAAAGGTTGGGAAGACGTCTATCTTGTCCGGACTTACCACGTCGACATGGGAGCTTCTTATGACTATCTAGTCGAGAAGCTCAAGAAGCGCATTCCTGGACATCGACCAGTCTGGACTGCTATTTCAGTTCCCCGCCTTGCTTTCCCGGAGATGTTGATTGAGGTCGAGGTTGAGGCATTCAACAATCAAGCTTAACGTTGCCTCCATTTCATCAGTGCCTTGATGTAAGGGTATTAAATATCTTTGATCTGAGTGTGTGCTAATGACCAGAAGATTTCTCCAGTTTCAACCGTCCCGCTTGTTGTGTGTGCGAATTCTAAGGTGTAACAAATATATATATCAGTTATACATTCTTTCTGGTTCTATTCTTAGCATAATATGGAGGTACGATGCACATGAACAATGAAAGTATAGAGAAGCATGAGTTTAGTATAGGTGTACTGGTCCCCAGTTAGACATGTCATTGACGTCATCCATGGCCACGTGACGGCTACCACCTCCACACCTCCAATGCCTCCATCCTAACCCAACTCTCTTCATCCTGCACACGCTCTCCCCATTATCCCCCAACCCTCAAAAAATCACGTATGGAGTTGTCTTCAGTAGAGCCAACCCAGGAGTCATCATCAGCAGGCAAACGAAAGCCACGGATATGTTCCTACTGCGAGCGATCCTTCCGGCGCTACGAACATCTCCAAAGACATCTTCGAATTCGTTAGTGCAGAACTCCCACGAAACCGAATGTGGGTCTATGAGGCTGAGATAATGGCAACTCTTAGATACACATGAGAAACCCTACGAGTGTGACTGTGGCGCAACGTTCAGTCGGCGAGATCTGCTGAAGCGCCACCAAAATATTGGCCACGCTCCGATTACTCCATCGACGGAGGACCCGTCACCTGCAGAGGTTCACAATACCAGCAATGTGCAGTCTCAAGTAGAGTATTCCCATTCCAATTTCCAGTCTTCTTTGCCGGAGCTAGCAGATCTTCATGACATCGCCCAAGTCCTTCCAAGCCAGACTAGCCAATATCCCAATGTGCAACTTGAAGGTATGGTGTAGTAGCATCTTCTAATGCTGAATCTCGATAAATCGCCGGAGCGGGATTGACTTCATGCAGGGAATCCGCTCTTCAGCTCCCAGGATCTGCTTGTCCTGCAAGATCTGGAGATGTTTAGTAACAACATGGGGCTGAACAACGAGTGGTATCTCCCAACTGAGCCCAGCATAACACAGATCTTCGCGGGCGATTCCAGCTTCAATCTCACCACAAATCCATCTACTGCACCAGCATCCGGCGCATTTCCCGTTGGTCCTGATCAGGCTCTGAGCAAGTTACCAACCGAGCGAGAAGCAGTTGGTAAGACGCCTAAGACACCTTCAACGTCTACCCGAGTCTAAAGACGCAGCTAAACATCAACAATAGCGGAATTTGGCGTCCTGACGTTGCCAATCCTGACTGTAACAAATCAGCATCGCGAACGCCTACTTCGAGCGCTGACACGGGCCCATTCCATTCAAGCGGCCAACGACTTGCCGTCTTGCCACTCATTGTCACGGTTCGCGAATGGCTTTTTCGATGGTTTCTATCCCCATTACCCCATGGTGCACATCCCAACCTTCAGGATCGATGAATGTGAGCCAGAATGTCTCTTAGCTATGTGCGCCCTGGGTGCTGAGTTCCGGCATGAGAATCGCAAAGCGGTGCTACTGTTTCAGGCGGCTACGGATATATTGCAGCAACGAACGCGTGAAACGCAAAGGACAAATGATGGGAAAGCTGCGCCGTCTGGGAACAGTACGACTCCATTACATCAGGGATCTGTCCAAAACCACAAAAGCGCGCAATACCGCGAAACCATGCGCGACGCACGCTGCGCCTTTCTACTGATCGCTTTCGCAACCTGGCAAGGAAAGGACGATCTAGCACGAGAGGCGTTCAACCTCCAAAGCTTCCTGGCCCGATGCATCCGGGAATGTCAGCTCGAACAGGCCGATCAGGGGCCCGATGCTAGTGCCACAGATTGGCGGTCCTGGGTCCAAGAAGAAACAGACCGCAGGATCAAGCTGTTCTCTTTTGCCCTCCTGAACCTGCAGTCTCTGGCCTTCGGCACCCCCTCCGTGATCCTGACCGATGAGATTCGCGTTCGCCTGCCATGCAGCTGTCTGGAGTGGATTGCTCCAAGCTCGGAGAAATGGAACCGTATCCGAACCAGGCCCGGGTTTCGGGAGCAGATGATGTTTCAAGATGCCCTCTGTCACATCATGAAGAACCCGCCGGCGCCGGGATTCCCCAACGCGCATCCGGTGCCATCACCCCAAGCAAACTATATCCTGCTGCATGCGCTCATCCAGCAGATCCTCCTCGCATACCGTGCTCTCGGGCCATACAACGACGCGAACAAATCCTTGATCAATGGGCAGAAGGAGATCATGCGGTAAGTGGAGTAGTTCATGAGGACCGAGTCTTCCTTCCAATTCTCATTGGCCCTGATCGAAAGCGTGCTCATGCTCTTAGACATGCCCTTCACGCGTGGACCTCTCTATGGCAGCGCGCCCCGGAATCGAGCTTGGATCCCCGCAACCCCAACGGCCCCGTGACCTTCACCTCAACCGCGTTCCTCGGGGTGGCATATGTTCGCCTCGGCCTCGACATCGGGTCCTACAGAATCCTTCGATCGCGAGACGCGAACGAGATAGCCAGCCGGCTGCTACACATGCCACGGCTTCCCGCCGGGCCACATCTCCTTCCCGCTATCCTGCATGCCACCCACGCCCTCAGCATTCCCGTCAAGCTGGGCGTGAACTTCGTGGCGCAGAGCCATGCCTTCGTCTGGAGCATCCAACACTCGCTTTGCGGGCTGGAGTTCGCCATCTTCCTCAGCAAGTGGCTGTTCTGTATCGCGGATTGCCAGACGAGGCGGCCGCTGGACGGTATGTATTCTTCCGCGTTGTGTCATGGGAGATCATCAAAACCTCAGTACTGACATGCCAAACGCACAGAGCACGAGACACGGTTGGTAAGCTGGATCACCGACATCGTCGAAGAGGGACGAACCTCCGGAGACGAGGACTTGTGGGCCCGACCGGCGGTCCCCTCGGACTGTGTCTACCTGGGTTTTGCTGTCGCGAAGCTTTGGGCGCGGTTGATTCGAGGCAATGAGCAGTGGCTTCTCCTGAAGATCATCGGCGATGGGCTGGATATCTATGCTGATACGTGCGACCGAGACTCTGTTCGCTCTCAGACAGGGACGTCTGTGGCTGCACGATGATAAACCTTTATCTAGCATCATCCCTCGAGGCTTGACAAATTGGAAAACCTCTTGACGAAGGACAAGGTCTGTTGCTTTGAGTACGAATTATTCATTACATATTCTACTTTAGTTACGCATCGGATCGCAAGCCCGTCATGGTTTACAATTTAAACCATCTAAAATACTACACAATAAGTCAACATAGAAGAAAAGCTCATCTCTTTACGTATTATTGATGACATGAGATGCTCGATTGGAGGTTGTTTCTCTTAGGCATCGTGTTAGACGATAGAGTCAAAAAAGGCCAATGGAGTGTAGATTGCCTCCGCAGGTTGCAGGCTTTCCCCCCCACCCTCGGTCAAAGGCCACTAACTCACTTTATCAGAACCAGGCTACACGAGCTACAAACACCCATAATTTGCGATCAGTCACGCTCGAGACTAAGACGATTCTTGAATACACTTCCCTCTGGTTGAACTGTTGACTTGGCCTTTTTGACTTGGATTCATTGCGGCGCTATGAGCGCACTAGGGTGTCCGTCTCATCATGGGTGCACAATGTTCCCATCTTAGAAAGATCCAGTCCGGAGATGGAAGTGTTTAGATTGCCCAGGAGGTCCTTGAAGGAAGACTGAGCGCATCTGTGTGGACGATCGTCGTACCTTAAGGTCCACTTTGGGGGTTCGAAGGACAACACCTGCTGCACAAGCTCTTCATGACTTATACCCAGAAAAGGCGCCACGGGCCTGGGGTATAGCAGACCGCTCGAATGCATCCTCTTACTGAGAGCTCCATACAGCATGGCGTTGCACTCAAAGCTACAACAGCGGTCGTCGAGGAGCCGATCCAGCGTGCTGTACAGTCCGTGCAGAATGGCGGCGATGGCCGTGGTTCGCGTTGCATTGATGAGACCTGGATATTCCCAATCTCAATCAGCTGGATACCACCCCAATCTCCCGGAATTCTGTCCCCTACCAATGATTGCGCCAGGAATTGGTAAGCCGAGGCTGGCTACAGGCGAGGTGCTCCGCGACGCCGCCGTCGAGGTGGTTTGTCGGAACTGACTCTGGCGACCGAAGAACCACGAGATCCAGATCCACAAGAAGAGGTCCCTGCAGTAAGTGTTTGGTCCAGCGCCTCCTTGCACTGGTAGTAGTCCGCCACGACCGCGATCTTGGCGATCATCTCTAAGCTCAGTTTCCTCGGGATCTGTGAGCTTTGGCAGTGCAATACCTTGAGGACGATCAAGAGTGCTTCTAAATCCCAGCCTTTGGCGGCTAACACCATGGGGTCTGCTGGGAGGTGAGAGGTGGTCTCTTTCCACGTCCCGCGGAGCATCTTCTTGAAGTAGGATGACGCGAGAGCTAGATGTTTTCCGGATACTAAGATACGGTGAACCTCTTTTGTCGGCGTTTTTTTGTAGTCACCGGCGGTTTCGACAGGTTCTACGTTGGAATTCTCCTGATACTCATCATCCTCATCGATGCCTAATGACGAAGGTGGACGAGCCATCTCCGGGGATCCGGCCTCATTCCAGGGCGCAAACGCATGATTGGAATCCTGTAAGACGATCACCACATCGCCGTCAGAGTCGATAATGTGGGTTGACAGGTCGGTAACACTCATCATGCTCATTCAGATAAGTGTAAGGATCAATTCAGATGCAGTATGGGAGAGTGCGCAGTTAGCAGGTGGGGCGTGCGAATCCAGGTGTGAATCCAGGAGACTCACAATCAACCTAATTCCAGATTGGGGAAAGCTCCCCCGCACCGTCTGAGATGCTAGACCTAATCAGGATCTGTCGGGAAGACCCCGCCGCGCGGCCCGTGACCCTCCGCCTGGTAGCTGCTACAGTCACGTGATCCTGCTGTGCGGTGAACAGTTACAATTCGAATTCACAGCACAAAGGTTGTATCATGAACAAGCCATGAGTGGATTCTTATCTGGAAGTTCTATGTTCTGTCGCTCTCTCGTGCCGAGATAACCTTTCTTAGATATACACAATCACAATGCCATAATACAAGCCGGGGATATGCCAATACTATGATACAAGTCCGGTACAGTTATTCACTAGGCGTGGTCAATCGGGGAGGGACCGGCCTCGATAGGGTAGGTAAAGATGTAGTTAGGGCCGGCAGCCATCAGGCCATCACCACCAGGACGCATCTGAGAAGCCGGCAGCCACAGCTTCTTGTCCGGGGTAACCCACATAAGGTCGGTCCAGATCAGGCGGTCATCCTGGAAGAGGATCGATGCCACGCCCTCGGGAGTCACCTTCCAGATGGCCAACAGGTTGGTATCGCTGAAATAGATGTTGCCGTTGCCGTCGATGGTGGTGCCGCCCGTGCTGGGGGTCAGAGCAACAGCCTGAACGTAGTCCCCAAGCGAGGCGGCGAGGGTGGTGTTGGTGAGAGCGGCGTCGAGATAGGCGGTCTCGATCTTGTACAGACCGCCGTTGCAGGGCTGGTAGTACAGCCAGACGCCGTCGGGGGAGACTTCGATCTGGTCGAGCCCGACGGCGAGGGTGCTGCCGGCGGCGCCGTAGCCAGGCACCAGGGTGTGATTGTACATCATGGGGAACCAGGCCTGGGCGGAAGAGTGGTCGGAGAGCACACGCACGCCGTCGCCGGTCGTCATGTTCAGGATGATGAGCGCGCCCGCGGTGTCACTGAGGTAGGTGACATCGCCAGCGGCGTTGAAGCGGACATCGTCAACACCGCTCTCCTCTGCCTTGACATTGTCCAAGTAGTACAGCTTGTCGACTGCGTTGGTGGTCAGGTTGACACCGACCAGCTTGGTGGAGCCATTGACGCCCGACGAGCCGCCATCGACGACCCAGTAGCGGCCATCCGGACCGATGCGCGCTCCATCGACACTGACAAAGCTTGTCGTCGGGTCGGAGTTCGGGTCACTGGAATTGTATGCGTTCCACGCCGCGTCCGGATAGAGAGTGGTGCTGTTGTCGGCGAGAAGCTCGACGATCTGGGGCGCGGCGGTCGTGGAGTAACGCTGTGTCAGGAATTTGCGGCCATCGGCGGAGATACTGATGCCCTGGGTGGCGCGCTCAAGCGAGTAGACCAGCTCCAAGCCTGGAGTGTTGGTCTTTGCAGCAGCCAAGGGAGCAGAGATGCCCACGAGGGCGAGGAAAAGAGAGGGAAACATGATCAGAGAAGTTCTGCGTGTCTGTCAGTCAGATTTCGGTGGGATATTTCGCTGAATATATAGAGCAGTTCCTGCGGAGCATGGCTGACCAAGCTATCTGGTGGTGAAGAAGGATTGCCAGGAAACAGCTGAAGCATGATCGCAAGCAGGTAGGTACTACGGAATACATAGTTCAGATCCCGTTGGCTCCGAGGGATCCCGCCCCGCTCCGAAAATTGCCAAGACGGCGCGGATGGAGGCACTTATCTGCAAGAAGTTTAGTCTCCGCATGTGCCGTGCAGAGTAGGGTTCCACTTGGGGAGAAGCTTGAGATTGATAAGAAGTTTAACCAACTTTGGGGTCATCAGACTTGCCGTCAGACTTCGGCGCGGACAATAAGCTTAGTTCTTGGCGAAAGTTGGTGCAGAATCGCTGATGACGAGTCGGACGACCTTGACCATGGGTCTGGCCGCAGCCGAACTTCTGCCGGCCCATTAAGCTTGTCTAATGTTGTTACGGGTGGAATCACAGGGAATGTCGTTACGCCGCCTTGGCCAGATCTGGAATGATCTTCCTCGTACAATCTGCTCACGTACTGAGACCGTGCTGCGAAAATGGACGAGACGCCACAATCTATACTATCAGGAGTTGGTAGCCACTAGTCTAGCTTACACACGGCGTAGCATGACGCGTGCTCCCTGCTCCCTCACAATCAGTCGTAGGTCTTGGCGTAATATATCATGCTGCAGCCATGACCAGCAGGATCCAAGGGTAATAAATTGATTATAGTCAGACTGCATTGTTCCAGCCGAGGTCTGATGTTCATAGGCCGATTCGATGCGTCGAGTCTGTAGGAGTGTTGGTAGCGAGCGTCAGATCCTAAATCCTCAGCAGTCACAGCCACAAGGATTCAAGTATGTGCAAGGGATAACTGGATTGACTTGTGAAACCATGAGCGAATGACTTGTATAATGTTGAAAGATCTAACAACTAGTCTCATTGTCAGTTGCTGAAGTATTGTTAAACTTCTCTACCAGGAGATTCTACTACAGCAAGCGACCTTTTGGCTCGCGGCTCGTAGTGTTGACGCAGTGATTATAACTGGGGTAACTGCACTGATGCAGGGGCAGTAGCACAAATCTTCCACTCAACAACTACGACCAAGCAGCAAGAAATAATAAAATCAATGAATGAATTCAATTCTACTTACATGCAGTAAATAGCCCTTTGGACCTCGCATGTCCATGTCAACAAATGATTTGAAAGAGGCGACCAAAAAGACAAAAATATACAACAGAAGGGATTCGCTGGTGGTCACCCACCCAACTACTAACCTCCCGGCGTGTGGCTTCTCTGCGGCCAGTAGTCGGGTGGGTGCCTCTAAAGGTGCTCAGCACGGCTGCGCTCGCGCTTAGTGCGACTGCGTTTTAGAGGGCTGAAGTTCCGTGAAGATCCGTGAAGCTCCGTGCTGCTGCGTGCTGCTGCCTGGCTTTGACAAATCATGAATTTTAGGCACCCCACTTTGTGTCCACTCCAGTACTTGCGAAATACATCTGAACTGTTTCAACTTCCGCAATTTTGGTTATCTTCCGGAATTCCCGATCTTCGCTCTTGCGGGTAGTCAGGAGATCACCACACGCAGCAATCCGCGACGTCTACTCGTGTTGTAGGTGTCTCAGGGCAGCGCTGAAAGCCAATTTTCCCTTCTGATTTCACGGGTCGTGGGTAGGACTCTAGCTGTTCATTTCTGAGATGTATGCTCTTTTCAAATGCAACCGGTTTGAACATGTGGTGAATGACAAAGGCCCAGTGGGAATGATAGCGTGATTCACATGCATGCCATGTTTCCTAGCTTCCGGCCAGGTCTTCTGCCCGAGGACAGGAACGGTCATGTTCCTCTTGGAGCATCTCAACGCTGTCTATCCCTTGCCCCTACATAGCAGGGCCTCCTAGCGGTGTGGAACCCATTCCTTCCTAGTCAAGCTGGAAGGCTCTTTTTGTTACAATGTAAGAGAGCTCATGAGAGGCTGTTCAACTGAATTCAGCTGCACAGGTGGCGTGCCATATCATATTCTCGTCATCTCCGCGGAAGATTGAGTACCTCTAAGACTAGAGGGGCCATGATCATAATAACTTCAAATAGCTCGACATCAAGTCGGCCACTGGTCTACCACTCTGTCCGGCCGGTTTTGCCTCGTTTTACCATCTCATGCAATAAAAGCTTAGGGACAAGAACACTCCTGTGTGGAAAACAACGTGTTGCTAGCCGATGTAAACACAACGAGAACCGCTGCATAGCTGTGCAATGGTATATGCATTAGCTCCTTGTACAGTCTCCTTGTGCTTGGACTTGCTTACCCCGCCCCGGCAATGAATATCTCCATGGTTTTTGCTCCGGTGAACAGGGACATGGTTGTTAGGGATACCCCAGCGGCGACAATGATAGTGACTAGCCGCGCGACTGGACTTGTTGTAACAAAGAGAATAATAATCGGAGTCAGAAGAGCGAGTGTGGCCATCCATGTTGCAATAGCTTGGCTGACGCGGCGTATCCAAGGACCGACAATGAAAATATTTTCGTCCTCTGTAATGTAGTGATTCTTTCTTGTCGCCGGAGAGAATGAGAGCTGGAATGATCATATCAGTCGACAGTAATATAAGCATTGCCTTTAAAATTAATATGCGGCGCTGATGAACGGTTCTTCTTCCATCCTATCTCTCTTCTTCCTTTCTGGCCTTGATTGACCACAGGAGGAGGAAATATATCTTCCATAATGAGTAGAATGAAAACATGGGCTAGGGCAATACACACTCTTCGACTTGTCCGTTGAAGAAAGCATAGAAAGTCTTCCAACAAAGGCAATGTACGCTCGACGGCAATATCAGGGGGCGTCACCAAACTCGCCAGGTCTTGGCCATGATCCAGGTACTCCCTTTCTTCTCGCGCGATACAGCCGGTTCCTTGCACCCAATTCTGCAGACTTTGAATATCCCTTGCACTGGAGTCAGACAGGGACTGGACCCATTGGCTCTGCTGCAACATGGTATCTAAAATAATATAAGCTTCGAGCTGCCCACTATACTGCGGGTTGGAAGATTCTACCATATTCGGCGAGATGCGTTCTCAGCTCGTCCAGAATTCTTTTGCGAGTAGAATTCTGGTCACGACGAGCGCAACCTAAAAATAGCCCATGGGGTTCATCGGCATCGGCACGGCTCAGCGCTTGCTCGAGAACAGATATTTCGTCTTGTTTTAGCAACAGAAGTCGCATCCGCACTTCTGTGAATCGACGGAACTTCTGAAATGATGCGTGTGTGCTCAATAACGCTGAATATCTGGGATATCCAGGCCGGAAAGTCTCCACTAGGGACAGGTATTAGAGCACTCTTTGTGAACGAACATTAACGAACCACGAGTCAGCATACAGTAAGACACACGAGGTTCGCCGTCGGCTGAATTCATTCTGATGGATTTATCGCTGTGGGCGCTGGATAGGTCTCTGGAGTAGTGCGGCCAATTTAAGACCGGTACTTTGACGAAGAGGGAAAACAAATTGGAAATGGCATGACCATGTCGCGCCGTTGTTTTCGAGTTGCATAACATATTCGGTGGACAACCTGTTGATGTCCAATCAGCTACAACCACGTATTAATTGAGGGTAAGCGGGGCTCTTCATTTTGGCCCCAAAAACGTGATATTTATTTATGGTTCACCCGGCCAGGAGAGTAGTTGATGTCATCCCCACCCGTTTCTCTTTGCGAGTTGAGAAGGACTGGTAAGCATGTTATCTCCTTGGCCTTACTATAGTCTTCATCTTCATCAAATGCGTTTCGCCTGTGATACTGATCCAACAAAGCAAAGCTGCCATGGATCGTGAGAAATTAGGAGACTGGGACCGTCGCCCAAGGATTGGGGCTTATGCCAACGTAAGTGCATGTACTTAGCCTGCTTCCCAGTGCTGATATATCACTGAAAGCCATAGAAAACCAAATTCTGTGTTGGTGACGAGGTCTACCTCAGCGAGCCTGGCGGCCGTGCATTGCGAGGACCTTACCTAATTGCCAGCGTCGGAGCTGGTGGAATCTATACTCTCAGCCTACAAGATGGGACAAGGGTGGACAATGGAAAGGTCTTTAGCGAGGCGAATCTCGAATTTGCATAGTGAGGAAGGGACGAGAGTCGGCCAAAACCACTGTATCATCTAACGAATGGTAATGCCCTCGGCTATTCTATCAATTACCAGTCTTCGGAAAGAGTCATTCAATTTGGTTCCTTGGGCATCATCAAGGTCAACCCCAAAGTCCGAAGCGAGGCATGCCGCAACGGCCTGCTGGTAGGTAGTCCCCGCGTAGTGCGCAAGTCGTGTTAAACAAGCCTCCTGCAGTTTCTTCTGTAACACGTAGGGGGCCGGGGCTTCGGGCCTCCTCGAGGCGACAAGATCGTGGGCGGACTGCCAGAGGCCGATTTCAAGTAGAACGACACCCAGCGAGTAAAGATCATGCACCTTCCGGTGGCCTTTACGAGCAGCCCCCTGCCGAGTGGGATGACGGTAGACGTTAAACGCGATGTCGTCTGTCGAACGGCCAATCGAGGGATCTGAATCTGGTCGAGCAAAGTCGAAGCCGTGAAGAAATGGGTTGGCGTAGTCAATCTCTTCGGATCCCTTGAAGCTCCAGAAAATCACATTCATCGCGCTGATTCCTTGGTGCACCCAACCAACTTGGTGCCAGCTTCGCACAGCCTGGGCAATTAATAAAGCAATCCTCAATCTCTGGTCCAGCGAGGGTCGCCTGGCCCCTTTAACTTGCTTTATAATTGACTGCAGTGTATGATGGTCACTGCTCGATCCATCGACATACACCTCCGGGACTTCAAAATGAAGTACATAACGATGATCCCACGACTGATGTTCCCATGCACAGCATTTCAGGGAAAGGAACTGTCTTCCCTTTGGGGCCTTTAACAGTTCGGCCAAACGACGGACCCTGGAGGTAAGATCGGGAATCTGAGCCGGATCCACGTATTGACTGTACTGCTTCGTCTCCACGAGGACCACTTGGTTGTAGGTCAACGACCCTCGAGCTTCCTGCTCACTGAGTGGCGTCTCCCGAAGAACAATTTGACGGAGACGTAGATGATCCACGATGCCCAATGTCTGCACGCCAGGATCTTCTATAGCCGTTTCCAAGACATTGGAGTCGGGATCCGCTGAGGCCTCCAAGATGGTACGCTCCACAGTATCTACAAAGGCACTGTTTTGAACGTTGAGCTGCCGAAGGAACGCACTCGTGCTGTCGAGATCATCACCCATGCCATGCCCATTTTCCTGACGATGGTGAGCGTTGGAGCTCTGGGTGCAATGGAGTTTGACTAGCGTAGCGACCTTATTCCATGCCTCCATGATGTCTCGTCGGCCGACATCGGTTAGTTCTTGGGGAAATGCGTGCTTCTCCTGTCGAATGCCTTCCACAAATCGATCAATTTTGGTGGAGGTGTCCAGAACCTCCAGTCTCGCTATCGTTCGAGGCATATCCGTCTCTAGCCATTCGGCAATTTGACCGACGGACGATCCATCTAGTTGCTCCTTTGTTTGGATGAGTAGCTGTAAAACAGATCCCTCTACCATGTCAATATCCTCCCGCCCATGGACGGGGGCAAGTCGGCCGAGTCTGATCGTTCGGGCCCCAGATCGGAGGTTGACATAAAACGGCGTGGCGAAGAGATTTGCATCCCGGTGGGCCAATCGGGCGTGTAAGTCGGTGATTGCCACGGCGCCGGTGGCATCGAGCAGGCCTTGCATTTCCTTCATCAGGGCGACGGTGAACGATCTTCGGCCCGGCCCGAGGGTCTCCATCCCCATCGCCGCGGCGGCGAGAATCTCTAGTCCCCCGGGACGCTGTCGGGTATCGCGACTGCGTGCAGCCTGGGCCGCAAAACAGCAGTCAAGAAGCAGGAGGGTGTCAGTATCGGTCGCCTTAATATCGTCCTGGATGCGAAACCATTCCAGGCTCGGACCCCCGTGCGCATGCGCAGCCCAGACTGACTGTCGTTCCTCGCCGCCATGTCGATCATCATTGCGATCCCCGTGGCCTCCATAGTGGATAATGAGCAATGGCGCCCCTTTTCTGCTCTCGGCATCGGAGGTCACTGCCAGCAATGATTGCGTAATGAAGTTGTGTAATCGAAGATACGAGTGCGAGCTTGGAATGGGAAATATGTCGACGTCATACTCAAATGAGGACTGGAACAGCTGTGCCAGTGCTCTACCCTCTTCTTCAAATCCGGGGTCGCTTTCTTCCCAATAGATTATCAGCGCTTTGACCGCCGCGTATCCTTGGCGCTGTGCTGAATCCTTCAGGCGCCGGTTGAGGTCGTCCTTCCAGCCAGCGGAGTCTGTAGGCATTTCGCTGCTTCGATGGTTTCCTCGGTGCGTTGTCGTCTGCTTCAACTTTATGTTCTTTCCAGATGCAGGGAATTTTCTCGGACAATTCCATTTGTCTGTTGGGTGGAATGTTAGGTGGAATCCGAGCGCTACCGGCGGGGCTGGAAGACGAGGCTGACTCAAGTCCTTGGCTTTTGTGCCCAATTCTGCCCGAATGGGGGCTAGCTTCGGCTGTTGGAACAAGGTCATTTGCACAATCAATCATAAACCATGGCTCTTATCACCTCAGAAGCTGCCGCCAACGGAGATGATTAAAGACACGGACGATCGGACAGAAGACCAAACAACCCCCCACGGCAGTGAACAAGATGAGCAACAACCCCGGCTGGCAACACCCCCGTTCATACATCTCCTCGGCTGGTTATAGCAGTAGGCGATCATCCCGGATGCCAGAGGGGTTCAGCCGGGATACTTTTTCAGTAACCAGGGATCGCTTGTCGTCCCTTCGTGACGCCTCCCGTAGCGGATGGACAGCGGTGGAGGTCCTCGTTGACGCGATCTATAAATCCGGGGTCCCGGGCCCTGTCCTTCTGACTGATTATGCCTATATTGGACAGGGTACTCAGTTTGTCGTGTCGCGGCAGTACATGCAGACTTCCACTCCCAGAGCAGTCATGCAAATCCCTGTCGCTGTAAAACAACCCAAATTCGATATAGGCTTCAATACCCAAATAAGTCTTGCCACCACGGGCACATGGAAGCATTTGCATGATTTCTATCTGGAAATTATGTCACTGACCACGCCATCGTTGAGTGTCCACCCGAACATCGTCAAGCTACTTGCATGGTCGAAAGGGGACTCATTTCATTGGCCTCCCCTCCTGGTAATGGAACTTGCAGAATGGGACTTGAATACGTTCCTTACCGAACAGCCGCCGACACTAGCAGAGGCCTACCGGATTTGCTGCGATGTGGCTGCAGGTCTAGACGCTTTACATGAGATCGGGCTCGTTCATGGGGACATAAAGCCGGCGAATATCTTGATCTTCCCATCTGGCCACGGGCCCGTCGCGAAGCTTGCTGACTTTGCACTCTCTACTGATGAGGTCGAGTTTGCAAAGAGCGGGATTTGCCTGGGGGGGACTCCAGGCTGGCAGGCGCCAGAGGTGGAGGAAGGACGTGTTTTGACGATCAAGGAGTTAGTGCCTACTGATAGCTATTCATTTGGCTTGCTAGCATGGAGCGTTCTTTTCCTATCCGGTAAGATCCCCCCTCGGGCAACAATTGAGGAGTCGCATGCCACGTTGGTGGTGAAAGATGCCAGCAGGAACAGTGAAATCCCGAAGATTAGCCAGGTATCAACGGCAGTGGGGTTTTTGTCTCAGCTTCTGGAGGTAGATCCGAAGCTACGACCTCGTTTGCTATGCGAAGGATTTTCGTTCAACCGGCACAGGGGAGCCAGAAAAGTGTAAGTCGAGGCAATATCAAATGCGTCCATACAGGTAGTAACAAGAAGCTTGCAGAGAAGAGCCCTCAGGTGGAATAGACCCGGATGACCCGCACGGACTATTTGTTGATCGTACATTCATGGATCGTAACCTCGGTCAAATTCATGACTGGGAGCCACACCCTCTCTCCGTTGAATTCGCCAAGGACATCTATGACAGGTTCCAGGAGAACAAGAGATCAGTGCCATTGCCAATTTTATTCCCTCTCTGTTTGGCACTCACCGTTCCAAGTCTACTGGATATTCAGGATTCCGATAGGCTCAGCTTAGCGGTTTCCGCTGCCTCTGCAGGACACGCCGCGGCCCAAGCTGCCCTCCCGGATTTATACCAGTATTATAAGAGAGATCCTGGGCAGCGACAGAGTCATATTCTTACCCGATGGCTGAAAAACGCAGTTTCTAAGGGCGTCATCTCAGCGAGAGCCGCCCTTGGGGAGCGCGATCCGAAGGCACTTGATCGGTGTGTGCGGTACTTCCATGACAAGGGCGGGTTCAATGAGCTCTATAGCCCACACGTGGACGAGGGATTCTCCGCTCTTCATTTTCTGGCTACCTATCGGACAATGTATGATCTCCGTGAATATTTCAAGCTTCACCCCCGAGAAGATATCGAGCAAATGACGAGTCAATTGGAGACACCACTCTATCTGGCCTGCGCGCGAGGATCCTGGGACATCATCGAGGAACTTCTGAATCTTGGAGCCAGCGCCTCCCCACGGTGCACACCTTACCACATTAGCTGCATTCATTGGACATTTGCTCTTGGAGAGCAGTATCAAGCGGTTGCCGTGAAGCGATTAATTGATGCTGGCGGCGATATCAACTCCGTTGCCTCAAAACCAGTCCCGCTATTTTACTATCCGTTTCACCTTCCGGCGGCAACTGCTTTACATTGGGCAGTAGTTACCTCCAGCTGCAATGCAATCAAAGTTCTTGTTCAAAATGGGGCCGCAGATGCTCTGATTCGAGATGGATGCGATCCGTATATCCATGATGAACGAGTTCGGTGCTTGAATCAATTTGGAGGTTCCAATCTCGAGCAATATTCCTTTTCGAAAGTTAAAACTCAAGGCCTCTCCCCTCTGGACTACGCTGCTATGCAGCATGACCCTTATATTTTCGAGTTATTGCTCTCTGTCAAGAGGAGGGTTGATATTAATGCAGTGGATGAAGAAGGGCTTAATGTATTCCACAGGCTTAGTCACTCCCAGACATGGTACACCAGACGAGGACTCCCATTCTCTTCTCGGCCCTTTTTAGGGAACGCAGGGCACATGAGAGCCAAGCTAGGCCGCACCGTGAAAGCTATAAAGGCACTGGGCGGAGACATTGATTTACTCTCTACTCCGAACCAGCACAATGCGCAGGGATTCGACTTCTCGTGTCCTTCTATGACGCCTCTCATGATGTCTGTTTCTGCTGGATTACCGGACGTAGTGGAGGCTCTTCTGGCAGCGGGAGCCGATATTCACAAGCAGAATGAACAGGGGCGTACAGCGATAAGCTTTGTCCCCTTCGTGGACGGAAAGATGCAAAATCAGGTGTATGCATGCGTTTCTGCTCTGCTGCATCACGGAGCTGATCCGGATCATCGAAGTAATGACGGTCTTTCCGCAGTATTCCACTACGCGAGCACGGGGTTCATTCATACTACTGAGCTCTTGCTCTCCAAATGCAAGGATATTGACCAAAGGCATCCGGTCTCCGGTCAAAGCATCTTCGCTAAGCTTGCCCGGATAGACAGTCCCTTTCGACAGGACAACGACGCTGCCTTGGCTCAGATCCTAGCAGGTCATCTATTCAACCACACCGACAAAGGGGGACTGCGGTGGATGATAGAAGACGGTGATTTCAATGGAGATACTTTACTACACCGTTTTGTCTTTCATTGCATGCCGATCTGTGTGCAGGCAGCTATTGCGCATGGTGCGCCAGTAAACGCTATAATGGTTCAGAATTATAATTGGATGAAAGAGCCTTTGCACTTAACTCCAATGGACTATGCTTTGAAAGGACGGCGCACGGACAGGAACAGAATGGAAATATCCAAGGATTACGACAGGAATGGGTATGAAGATCTCATTCAACGATGGGATCGTGTTATTCACATACTGAGAACTGCTGGGGGGCTTCCACTAGCCTACCATAATCTGTATCACTAGGTTATTGGAAAATATCTTCTAGACCGCAGTGTAAATTACAAGATGGCGCTCAGCGAGAAATAACTGCGACTGATATGCAATTGTCCAAATAACGTCGCTTGGGTTCCCATGATATTACGCGGTTTCTGTGCCCCCCAATGAATGATATTCCCCATAACGATCACCTCTTTGGCAGACGAGACTAGGCATTATCCTCATCTAATGGCAGGTGCATAGACCCTATCAGGCTGTTTAGCATGGAATACGTAGGGATGGAACAGCAGCTCAAATCAAGAAGTAACTTACTTCTTCTCATTGCAGTAGCCGCCACTCTTTCCAGCAGTCGCACACCTGATTGCTTCTTACATTGAATAATATTGAAGATCAAGAGGATACTCTTAAGCAGGGCTGAATAAATAACACAATACTGTACCACAGATTAATAGTTAGATTCATACTATCCAATTAATATATAAAACTCAAAGCAATAGTAGAAATCTAAACTCCCATAATAAAAAGTTTAAAAATATAGAAACATGGAAAGCAGAAGTAGAAATGTTACAGACGCTCTTTCTTTATACAGGCGACTAACCAAGTCATTTATCGTTCTAGTTTAAAAGCAACCGTCTTAATACAGATAACGCTAGACAGAAAGTAGACACAACAATCAGAAAATTAAATTAGATTATTTAATATAGTAGCAGTTTCTGTTCTGTCTTCTGTTAGACTTGCTCTATTGCTTTTGTGCCTGCTTCTCTTCTTCTTCACCACGTCCTGCTTCTTCCGCACGGCGTTTTACATGCGGCTACTCTCTAGCTGCACCACTATAAGCTCCGCCCCAACCAGCCACATGCTCCTCACTGGGAAGAGCCCATCCAGAAGCATTAATACACTCAATAGAAGTAATCTATTCCGATTTCTTGGCTGTATAAGTAGGTTTTTTTTTAATAAAAATTTAGATCTAGTGACTACTCGGACAGTAGCTACTAGACCTATAGTAAAGATAGTCTTATTAAGATTATAGATATTTTCAGATACAATCCTATATTATATTATAATAACTTGTACGCAATTAAACCAATTCTTATAGAACCAAAAATCTTTATATTAAGCACGTAATAGTTATATCTTTAAGAAAAGCATACTTTTTATTTATTATACTGTTAAACAGATTTATAAATCTATTTCTTTTCAACTGGTTTAAAAAGGGATTGGATTACGAGCAGCAAATTAAGGACGTGAGGACCAGCCTAATCGGCATTACAATAGCGAATAAGACCAGGACCTGTGCGTCGGTAAAAAGAGTATCGGTTCGGTGAGCCTGCAAGATATGGATATTCTCATCCTCGGTGTAAGGGCTAAGCCAGCCCTTCCAACCTTCGCGGATACCGCGAAGGGAAATCTATATATATCGGGCCTCAGAAATTGGTTATATGATAATTAGGCAAGCAGACCGCGACTTCTTATTTAAAAGCAGATATCTCGCGAATTAAAAAGATTAGTAATAATATTTTAAAATAATATATTAGTATTTTTAGTCTTGCAAGAGTTATTTATTTATTATGTTATTTTATTATATTAATTTTTATAACTTTATTATTTATATTCTACAAAATAACTTGATAAATAATAACTAAATATAATATATAAAGCTGAACCAGAAGTAACTTTTTAATCTAATTGCAGAAAACTATATATTGACCGCGGAAAAAAGATTTTATATAGTAGAAAAAAAATATATATTTTTATTTATAAATTCCGCGAATGATTATAATTATTTAAACAGATTATAAATTCTTAAAATAAGCTAAAGATGTTATACAATACCTATCGCTACAGCAGCCCATACCTACTACTATGGCAGCCCGCTTCGGGGTTGATATGGATTTATCAGGCTTTTAATCCGAATATCTATATTATTATATTACTTACTTCTTCTTTCTATATAATATATTGTCCTGAGATTCTTTAAAAAAAAAGATTTTTTAAGAATTAGTCTTAAAATTAAGAAAAGACTACTTTTAACTATCTTGCTTGCCTTGTCTAACCAGCATGTCTACTACATCAAGTAGAGTGGATTAATCTGACTGTTATATCTTAACCTTAACCTGACCATAATCTGGCGGTTAGATTAAGATACAAAAAAATTGTAATTATATAGTTATAGTTAGATTAAAATATAACTATTATTTTAACTGTTTATATCTGCTGGTCAGAAAAATTAGATATAATAAATAAATTAATAACTGCAGGTTAATTAATAATATATATATTTTTTTTATATAGATAATATACAAAGTATAATATATTTTTAATTATAGTATAATAATATTATCTAGATTTAGCTTATCTACTTAATCTATTTAATCTATTTAATTTATTTAATTTATTTAATCTGTTTAATCTGCTCGACCTCTTCTTCTATAATTCTGAGAAGTATATTATATTTTAAAAAAAATATTTACAGAATCTAGTATAAAAAATATAAAATTTAATATTAAATAAACTAATAAGATTATACTACTTTTTATACTGTTTAAAACAATAATTATAATAATAAAGAAATTAAAAAACCCGGGTTTTTATCTTTATTTAAATATATATAATATTCGAAGACTTAAATAAAGCTAGTTTTTTTATTTCTAATAATAATTTATTTTTTGGATTATCTTTAAAATTATCTATATTCTTATTTTTATTAATATAAAAAGTAGTAATTATTTTATTTTTTTCTTACTTTTTAAATATAAAAATAATCGAATTTGGATTAAGATTATTAAGAATATTCTAGTACTTCTTATTAATAATAAAATAATTAGTATATATTTAAAATATTACTGTTTTAATTATATTAGAATAAAGACAGCTCCGGCGATAATAACAGATATCTTAAAAATTATTAAATAGATATTTAATATTAATACTATTAGTAGCAACTAAAAGAAAATCTTTAGTTATTTAATAAAAAATAAAAAACTAATTATAATAGAACTTTTAATAAGTAAGAATATTAGTATATTTTATAATATTTAAAATAATATTAATTTAATTAAAGATATTTTAATAAGCTATATATCTTCGATATCTAGATATATTTTAAGTTTTTTAAATATTTTAACTGCTGGTAAAAATCTTTAATATTTAAAAATTTTATAAAAGACTTTATCCAGGCCTAACAGTAATCTGAAGATAGTTAATAATATATTAATAACCAGATTCTAACTATAATAAAAATAGAATATTTTTTTAAAAATAATTTGGTACTTAAAATATTAGTTAATATTATTATCCAGCCAGATATTTTTTTTAAACTTTTTAAGCTTTAATATCGGATTTAGAATAATTATAATTATATAAATATAGTCTTTTATCTAATAAATATAATAATAATATTTTTAAAGTTTTTAATATATATTTTATAAGTTTTTAAAAATTTTTTTTTTTTAGAATACCCGCTTTCTTACCAATCGGTTAATTAAATAATCTAAATAATTAAAAAAATTATTATAAATATTATAGATTTTATAAATAGTAGGTCTACTATTCTCAGATAGATATAATATAAAAAAAAAAAATATAAAAGCTTAAAAAGATACTTTATTTATTTCTATTTAATTATAATAAAATAAAGATAATTAATACTACTATAATTACAGTACTAAATAAAACTATTAATTATTTAACAAAAATTAAATATCTAATAAATTATAAAATAAATTAAGTTCTAGTAAGTTTTATAGTTAAAAAAAAGATAGTAAACCAAGTCTAATTTAAGTTATTAAATAAGCTGAAACTTTTTATAATATTAAAAACTTATATTTATAAATTATATAATCTTCCGAATCTATAATTAAGAATTAGTATTATTAGCTATTATTAAAAAAAGATCTTTAAAATCTATTTATAAAAGACTAATTTAGATAATCTCTACTATAATAAAAATTTTTTATATTAGTCTTTTACAGATAGCTTCTAGAATATATTTTTTTAAAAATTTTTAAAATATTAGAAGAGGTTTTAAAACTTTTATTATAATTCTTTTATATATATTTAATAATATTATTTAAAATCTTAATCTAAAGTTTCTGCAGAAGAATATTAACTATAAGCTAAATTATATAAATAAGACAGAATATATAATACTAATATTAAATAATTATTATAAGATTAAAATTAAATAAAGTATTATAAAACTGGGTGCTTTAACTAAGCTAAGTCCAAAGTTTAAATAAGATTATACTAAATATTAAACTATTATTACTAGTATTATTAATTATTATATTTAATAATTGAATAAAACAGGTTATATTTATATAAAACTAATAAAATAATTATAACTAAATTTTTATTAATATAAAATCTAAATATTAGTTAAAAGCCCAGTAGAACTTTATAATAATCTATATCTTTTATTAAAAAATATCTAGTTAAAGTAAGAAATATTTTTTAATTAGAACTAATCTAACAGTCTACTATAACTAATATTCTTCTAGTATTTAAAAACTTTAATAACAGCTATATATATATATTTTTTAATAATTCTAAAAGATATTTTTTAATTTATACTTAATTAAAAAGACTTAGTTTTTAATAAAAAAATAAAGCTGTAAGATTAATTATTTGTTTAAATTAAATATATTCGACAGTTCGGAATAGTAAATAACAGATAATTATAAAGTATAGGACTTAATTCTAAAAGTTCTATTTATTATAAGCTGTAGAAACCTAGAGAAAATAATAATTAAAAAAAATTTATATTAAAAAAATAAATAAATATCTATAATAACTTTTTATTTAGTATCTAACTAATTATTTGCTTAAATATTACTAATAATATTTTTTTTTTATAATTCTTATAAAGATAATAGCTTATAAAACTAGTTTCTAAATTTTTAATTTCCGAATATTATAAAATATAAAGACAGATAATACAGTAAATATAAAAGATTTTATTAAAAAATAATATATTTTTCTGAAAGCTGTTTTATATTATTAATATTTTTTTTTAACTAAAGTAAAATAATAGTTTTTAAACTTGTATACAGACTTTAAAAAAAATTATTTTCTATTATTAATTCTAGAAAATAGAGTATTTTTTTTTATAAGTTAGATATAAAATAATCTTCTGATTCTTTATAATATATATAATCTAAAGATTTAAAAAAAAAGAAAAGATCTGACTTAAAAAACTTATTTTAGTTTAAATATTATTATAGTTTATAAATATCTAAAAAACAGAAAAAAAAAACTTAATAGTATTCTTTAAAAATAAACCAGATAATTATAATTAATTTATAATTCTAAAACTATTCTACAAATAATAGATACAGAAAAAAAAAATAGAAAATTCTATAAAAATAGTTTATTTTACTTTAAGATATACTTTTATATAAATATAATCTATTATATTTTAAATACAGCTAAAATATCTGCTACATCTTATTTATTTTAGTCGGTCAGATTAGTCAGATTAATTAGATTATTTTAATATTTATAAAAAAGATCTAAAAAAAACTTATATAAAGCTTTTTATAAAAAATATAGTATCTATAAAAGCTGTTTAAATAATTAAAAACTAATCTATTTAGTACTAAGATATAAGAATTTTAAATATAAAAAAAGAAAAAAAAAAGAAGAAAAATATAAAAAAACTTCAGAATATATATTATTATTATATAAAAAAGTCGGTTAAATTAAATAAATAAAATAAAATTAATATAGTTAATAGCAGGTCTCTAGGGTGCTTAAAGTTAAAAAAATTAAATAAATTAAAAAAATTAACTAAATAAAAAAAATAAAAAAGATTAATTGGATTAAAAGAGTAAAAATAATAGACTATTTTTATAATATCTAATATTTAATAAAATAGTTATTAGAAAGTACAGTTGCCGAGAAAAACTATATAAATAATATTATATAGATTTTTTTTTAAGTTTAATTTATTATACAGATAATTTAGCTTTTTTAAATAAAAATAAGAATATAATAAACTATCTAAGCTAAAATAAAAAAAAGAATAATAAAATAAAAACAGTATATTTATTTTTAATAGTCTGATTATTAGTAAATATACAGTTTTTCTGATATTATATATTATAATTAAAATATATAATTTAAACCGAGCTGTAATTATATATTTTTATATATATTTCTTATTATAAAAACTATAATTTTATAAAAAGTTAAATTTTATTAATACTATCAGAAATCTCTAATTAATTCTTTAAAATAAAGATAAAAAAGATACTAATATTTTTTTTAGTTATTTTTTTCTGATTTTAAAAGCTTGTTTCTATATATTTTTAAATAATAGTTAAAATAATCAGATTAATAACTGCTTAATTTAAATATATCTTAACCGTGCTAGAGTCTAAATAAATATAATAAACAGATTTTAATATTAAAAATAATTAAAATAATTAATTATTTCTTTTTTAGCTATACTATAGTTAAATATAAAAATTTTCTTAATCTAGCTATAACCTGGCGGTCAGATATAAAAATTCCAATTAACCTAATCTAACCTGGCTGTTAGCCACTCTAACATCAAGTAGTTTCTAACATATTTTAAGTACCGAAATATTTTTAAAAAGATATTCTATTTTTATTATAGTTATAATCTAGTTATTAATATATTATTAACTATCTCCGGGTTACTATTAGACCTGAATAAAATTTTTTATAATATTTTTAAATATTAAAGATTCTTACCGGCTAGAGTGGCTAACAGCCAGGTCAGGTCAGGTTAATTAGAATTTTTATACCTGACCGCCAGGTTATAATCAGATTAAAAAAATTTTTATACTTAACCACGGTATAGCTAAAAAAAAATAGTTAATTATCTTAATTATTTTTAATACTAAGATCTGTTTATTATATTTATTTAGATTTTAGTATAGTTAAGATATATTTAGATTAAGTAGTTATTAACCTGACTATTTTAATTATTATCTAAAAATATATAAAAATAAGCTTTTAAAATTAGAAAAAAATAACTAAAAAAAGTATTAATATCTTCTTTATTTATATCTTAAAAAATTAATTAAAGATTTCTAATAGTATTAATAAAATTTAGTCTTTTATAAAATTATAGTTCTTATAGTAAAAAATATATATAAAAATATATAATTATAGCTCGGTTTAAGCTGTATATTTTAATTATAATATATAATATTAAAAAAACTATATATTTACTAATAATCAAACTACTAAAAATAAATATATTATTTTTATTTTATTATTCTTCTTCTTACTTTAGCTTAAATAGTCTATTATATTTTTATTTCTATTTAAAAAAGCTGAATTATTTATATAATAAATTAAATTTAGAAAAAAATTATATAATATTATTTATATAGTTTTTCTCGGCAACTGTACTTTTTAATACTTATTTTATTAAATATTAGATACTATAAAAATAGTTTATTATTTTTATTTTTTTAATCTAGTTGATTTTTTTTACTGGCTTATTTTTAAAGAATATTATTAAGTTTTTTTTTTTTATTTTTTAAATATTTATAAATTATAATAATACTTAAACTAAGATAAGCTTTTTAAGCTAGATTTTTTTTTCTTTTTTAAATCTCTAGATTACGTATATTATAAAGAATCAGAAGATTATTTTATATTTAACTTATAAAAAAAATACTCTATTTTTTAAAATTAGTAGTAGAAAATAATTTTTTTAAAGTTTATATACAAGCTTAAAAACTGCTATTTTATTTCAGTTAGAAAAAGATATTAATAATATAAAATAGTTTTTAGAAAGATATATTATTTTTTAATAAAACTTTTTATATTTACTATTAGAGTGGCTAACAGCCAGGTCAGGTCAGGTTAATTGGAATTTTTATACCTGACCGCCAGGTTATAGCCAGGTTAAGAAAATTTTTATACCTGACCGCGGTATAGCTAAAAAAAAAACAATTAACTATTTTAATTATTTTTAGTATTAAGATCTGCTTATTATATCTATTTAGACTTTAATATAGTTAAAATATATCCAGATTAAGTAGTTATTAACCTGACTATTTTAACTGTTATTTAAAAATATATAGAAATAAGCTTTTAAAATCAGAAAAAAATAACTAAAAAAAATATTAATATCTTCTTTATCTCTATCTTAAAGAATTAATTAGAAATTTCTAATAGTATTAATAAAATTCAGCTTTTTATAAAATTATAGTTCTTATAGTAAGAAATATATATAAAGATATATAATTATAGTTTAGTTTAAGCTGTATATCTTAATTATAATATATAATATCAGAAAAACTGTATATTTACTAATAATTAAACTATTAAAAATAAATATACTATTTTTATTTTATTATTCTTCTTCTTACTTTAGTTTAGATAGTTTATTATATTCTTATTTCTATCTAAAAAAGCTAAATTGTCTGTATAATAGATTAAACTTAAAAAAAAATCTATATAATATTATTTATATAGTTTTTCTCAGCAATTATACTTTCTAATAATTATTTTATTAAATATTAGATACTGTAAGAATAGTCTACTATTTTTATTTTTTTAATCTAATTAATTTTTTTTATTCTTTTTATCTAGTTAATCTTTTTAATTTATTTAATCTTTTTAATTTTAAGCATCCCAGAAACCTGCTATTATTTATACTAATTTTATTTTATTTGTTTAGTTTAACCGATTTTTCTATATAATAATAATATATATTCTAAAGTCTTTTTATATTTTCTTTTTCTTTTCTTTCTTTCTTTATATTTAAAATTCTTGTATTTTAATACTAAATAGATTAGTTTTTAATTATTTAAATAGTTTTTACAGATACTATATTTTTTATAGAAAACTTTATATAAGCTTTTTTTAGATCTTTTCTATAAATATTAAAATAATCTGACTAATCTGACTAATCTAACCGATTAAAATAAATAAGATACAGCAGACATCTTAGCTGTATTTAAAATATAATAAATTATATTTATATAAAAGTATATTTTAAAATAAAATAAACTATTTTTATAAAATTTTCTATTTTTTTTTTCTATATTTATTATTTATAGAATAGTCTTAGAATTATAAGTTAATTATAGTTATCTGGCTTATTTTTAGAAAATACTATTAAGTTTTTTTTTTCTATTTTTTAAATATTTACAAATTATAATAATACTTAAACTAAGATAAGCTTTTTAAGCTAAATTTTTTTTTTTCTTAAATCTTTAAATTACATGTGTTATAAAAAATCGAAAGATTATTTTATATCTAACTTATAAAAAAAAATACTCTATTTTTTAAAATTAATAGTAGAAAATAATCTTTTTTAAAATCTGTATATAAACTTAAAAACTGCTATTTTATTTTAGTTAAAAGAAGATATTAATAATATAAAATAGTTTTTAGAAAGATATATTATTTTTTAATAGAATCTTTTATATTTATTATATTATCTGTTTTTATATTTTATAATACCCGGGAATTAAAAACTTAGAAACTAGTTCTATAAACTACTATTTTTATAAGAATTATAAGAAAAAAATACTATTAATAGTATTTAAGTAAATAATTAGTTAAATACTAAATAAAAAACTATTATAAGTATTTATTTATTTTTTTAATATAAATCTTTTCTAATTATTATTTTTTTTAGGTCTTGACAGTCTATAATAAATAGAATTTTTAAAATTAAGTTCTATACTTTATAATTATCTGTCGCCTATTATTCCAAACTATTAAATATATTTAATTTAAATAAATAATTAATCTTACAGCTTTATTTTTTTATTAAAAATCAAGTTCTTCTAATTAAGTGCAGATTAAAGAATATTTCTTAGAATTATTAAAAAATATATATATACAACTATTATTAAAGTTCTTAAATACTAGAAGAATATTAGTTATAGTAGACTACTAAACTAGTTCTAATTAAAAAATATTTCTTACTTTAACTAAATATTTTTTAATAAAAAATATAAATTATTATAAAGTTCTACTAGACTTTCGACTAATATTTAAATCTTATACTAGTAAGAATCTAGCTATAATTATTTTATTAGTTTTATATAAATATAACCTGTTCTATTAATTATTAAATATAATAACTAATAATATTAATAATAATAGTTTAATATTTAATATAATTTTATCTAAATTCCGGACTTAGTTTAACTAAAATATTCAGCTTTATAATACTTTACTTAATCCTAATCTTATAATAATTATTTAAAGCTAGTATTATATATTCTATTTTACTTATATAATTTAGTTTATAATTAATATTTTTTTATAAAAACTTTAGATTAAGATCTTAAACAGTACTATCGAATATATATAAAAAAATATAATAAAAGTTTTAAAACCTCTTCTAGTATTTTAAAAACTCTTAAAAAAATATATTCTAAAAGTTATTTATATAAAACTAATATAAAGAATTCCTACTATAGTAAAGACTATCTAAATTAATTTTTTACAGACAGATTCTAAAAATTTTTTTTTAATAATAGCTAATAATACTAATTCTTAATTATAAATTTAAAAGATTATATAATTTATAAATATAAACTCTTAATACTATAAAAAGTTTTAGCTTATTTAATAATTTAAATTAGATTTAGTTTACTATCTTCTTCTTAACTGTAAAACTTGCTGAAACTTAATCTATTTTATAATTTACCGGGTATTTAATTTTTATTAAATAATTAATAATTTTATTTAGTATTATAATTATAATAATATTAATTATCTTTATTCTATTATAATTAAATAAA